GCTATTTTGAAGGTCACCTGTATCTGAATCGCTGATTGCACCAAAATCTGAATGTTTTAGCAGCTACTCAGATACATAAAATTAAACGTGGTCAAGTAAAAAGGTGCTTGCATGTTTCTTCGTCCTGGAGATTTTGGTACTGTTTTGAAGAAATTTATTGCTCATTTTGGTTTAATACAACTGAGAAGCTTGTTAAGCAGCTCTGCGTTGCCCACACTGGAGTTATTATTAAAAGCCAGATTGGTTAAAATGCCATCAAAGAATGTTACAAAGCAGTTCTTTTTAGTATTAGAAGATTATCTATCATTTTCAGTTCACTGATGGTTAAGATTTTGGTGCCTGGAACTGTGGAAAAGAGGTTTGAAGTTGTACCATTTGACCAGGTTTCAATTACAGTGGCTTTTTAATTCATGCACCATTGATGTGGAAGTCTGAGTAGGAGATTTTACTCTGTATTTACTAATTCCTGTGTTTTGAAAAATTAATTTCAGATTTTGAAACTGCTGGCAGCTTAATTTGTACACTATGGCATGGTCTGGGCCTCTTCTTTTAGTCTAATGACCTCCACTACACAATCATATCTGCTTGGGATGAGATTTATTTCACCGTTGTATCTTATCGACCTTTCGTTTTGTAATTGCAGCTGATTGATCTCATTGAAAATAACTCCGTAGTCGTCATCCGAGGTGCTACTGGCAGTGGTAAGAGTACACAACTGCCTCAGTATATTCTTGAATGCTATTTAAAGAAACCTGCATTCTGCAATATTGTAGTAACACAGCCACGAAAAATTGGAGCAATCAGTATTGCCCGCTGGATCTGCAAAGAACGTCGTTTGTCTATAGGAGGCTTGGTTGGATATCAGGTATGTTAATTCTGCCACTTCTAAGGGTTACATTTTAACATTTACCTTTACAATTCTTTGATGCTCATAAAATTATCTTTGAAAGTTTTTTTTCTGGAACTGATCACTGTTAACACAATTGTGTTGATGGCTTAGAAGTTATTTTCATATTCTCTATGCTGCCATAAGTGTGTCATTTTATCTTTTTTTTACACAACGTATAACTTTAAGAATAAACAAGTGTATTTGACACCTTTGATATTTTTTCTAAAAGAGAATTTAATCCAAAAATCTAGTTTATTGTTTAAATTCCTCAACTGGAAATGAGGATTTTCATTATCAGATCTCCAAAATAACTGAAAATCACAGCAGGTCAGGCAGCATCCATGGAGAGAGAGCAAGCTAACATTTGACTCCAGAGCTGCCGTGAAGCATGGAGGGGACACCATTTATGCAATAGTGGTGGGGATGTGTGGAGAGCTGGGGGAGTGCTCGAGGAATGGACTCCCTAATCTCTGGGACATCCTAGTCCTTTCCTTGACTACCAACACCACTCCCCCCTTCCCATAGCACCTTCCCATGTAACCGCAAAAGGTGCAACACTTCTCCCTGCTTACCATCCAAGGGCCTAAACAGTCTTTCTAAATGAAGCAGCATTTCTCCTGTATCACCTCCAGTCTGGTCTATTGCACTTGCTTCATCTAATATGGCGTACTCTACATTGGAGTAACCATACGCAGACTGGATGACCACTTTGCAGAACACCTCCGGTCCACGTGCAAGCATGACCTCGACCTTCCCGTAGCCAGTGATTTCAACATAGTCTCCTGCTCGCATGCCCACTTGTCTGTCCTCGGCATGCTGCAGTGAATCACAGTGCAAACTGGAGGAACAACATCCCATTTTAGGACTAGGCACTTGATAACCTTCTGGACTTAATATTGAGTTCAACACCTACAGATTTGTGAACCCACTCCCATTCCTTCCCTTCCCTTTTAGTTTGCATGTTGTATTTTCTGTCACTATTTCCTCTCTCCCCTCCCCCACTCCAGGGGACTATCTGTCCTTTCCAGTTTGGTAATTAGACACACCATTGTTCTGCAGTTCTCACTTTCTGATCATTTAATCTGCACCATCAACAGCCTTTCTTCCCGAGGCACACCACCACACCACCCCTCCCCCACTATTGCACGCATGCTGCCCCCTCCACGCTTCATTTCAGCTCTGACGAAAAGTCTTCAAGACCTGAAATAATAGCTTGCTCTCTCTCCATGGATGTTGCCTGACCTGCTGTCATTTCTAGCATTTTTTGTCTTCAGTACAGATTCCAGCATCTACAGTAATTTGCTTCTCCAGAATAACTGACTTGCTTTGGTAGGACTATTCCCAACCTTGTCAATATCAAGGTCCACTTCAATGAGATGAACAATTCCACGGTACATCCAAGACAACAAGGTGCAGGGCTGGATGAACACAGCAGGCCAAGCAGCATCATAGGAGCAGAGAGGCTGACGTTTCGGGCCTAGACCCTT